GTCCTTTGAGTTTTAGCTCAGCCAGCTTGGAACAAATGTGTTGCTATTTTTTATTTATTTTTTTTAGCAAAGAAAAGATATGTCTTAGGTTCTCATTTGGATCTCTGTTAACGCTCTACCTGCCAATTTAGGTTGACAACCATGTCTCATCGGGCTTGTGCCAATTCTCTTTTTGCTTAGTTGATTGACTGAACAGTGCTTTATGAGATTTGCAGGAGTTATTTAGCCTGATAAACCAGACTAAATGTGAAATTAAATGTGTAATTTAGTCTGGCCCCGATGAATGCGGCATGGGAAGATTGTTGATGAGAAAAACCTGTAGTCTTTCAAACTGCTGTCTGTGCCTACTGGCCAATGCTCTGCCCAATGAGCGCAACTGAATGTGCGCGACAGAAAGCTGGTGGGGGAGTGTAAACAAACAGCCTGTCGGTAAAACGGTGAATACGTCCTTCTTAAAAATGAAAGAGCATAGAGCCTCTTCCTACTCAACGGAATTTTTCAAAAAAACCCAGGTCTAATCCTTCCTATACTAATTCCAAAGCGGAGTCAAACGAGAACTGTTCAATAGTTGTTGCCATCTTCCTTGTTGTGCTTTCTCCAGCATTGCACAGCTTTGTCGTCTTGCCCTCCAAACCCCGCCTGCTTTGCATCCAGAAATTCAAAACACATCTCTGCATTGTGATTGGCCCACCAGTTCTAGGGCCTGGGGCATTGATTGAGGCTAGACCACTCACAGGCAAAAATGATTTTGGCCGCTGGTGAGTGGGACTAGTTTACTAGGCTAGGAGTCATTACAACATTTTATAAGCTTTTCCTTCAGCTGACGCCCTGACCTGCCCAATGTGTTCCTTGGTCTTTACAGTGCTGTTAGCAAACCTTTCAAGGTTTCGCAGATTAGCTTGATTATTACTGAGAACAAATAACCCATAATTCATCTGTTTAGGAAAGTTCAACTCATACAGATTTTTTAAGGTCGACGCCAACTGATATCCAATATATACTGCCGATATTTTTTGGCTGATTCCTCTAGCTTAATGTGTTCTTTCTTCCTCCATTTCCATGATAAAAATGACCAAATGATAAATAAAGTAAATAGATCTAAATTTTAACAAAATAAATTTATAAATAAATCAAACTAACCAACGATGGACAGCAAATGTAGGGAGCACCCTTGGATAGGCTTCACTCGATCTTAAGGCATGGCTGGTAAAAGCACTGTTGAGTCAGCCAAAACATGCACGCTTTGGCTGCAAGAAAAAAAGACTAATATCATCCAAAATTGTTAAATTGGATTTTATTTAGCCAAAACAGACAGAATGAGGCTGAATATAAATATATATATATATATATAAACCCCCTCCCCCACATGACAATATATATGCAGCAGCACCAGCCTGCAGTAAAAGTCCTCTTAGGACCACATACAAAAAACAGTAACAGGTTTAATTCAAATCCAATTACAAACAGTGCAGTTCAGTCCATTCATAATCCAATCCCTTACACAGATTGAGTAAACTCAAAAAGCCAGTTTGTACTTTCTCTAACAAACGAGTCCCTCATCTCCTTTACTAGTTTTATTTTCTTTTATCCTAAAGAAGAATAAACCTCTCAGATGTGCAGGAAACAAAATAAAAGATGCAGATGAGAACTGGAATAAAGTAGAAAGAATTATTCGTGATAAACTATTAGTAATTTCAGGTAGTCTGAATCTAAAGGGCCCCAAGAAAATCTTTATGTGATTAAAGTTAAGAAGCACAAGATGGCGTGATGGTGGGGGCCTTACAGAGCATTCCCTGTGTGAAAAGGAGCTTCGGTTTCCTGTCCCGATTATCCCCGCTGCTGGTGTCAGCTGTGGGTGGAGGTGACCAAAGCAGGCGTGGAAGAGGATAAATATGGTGTGATGCTGTTCCTACGGCCCGGAATCACCGCCCATACGTCAGAGGTAGGGAACACCTTAAATGATCATCTTAAGCGTCTAGGGCAGGAACTTCCCAGATTATTTTGGACTTGTGAATCAAAGTGAGGTAAAGTGCTTTAAATGCTCTCCTACCACATGTTTAACCTAATTTTTAATGGTCATGAGGAGGTCTCTTCGTGAATTGTTTTTTTATTTAATCCAGTAAAATCAAGCAAAATCACTTGAACCTATTTTTTTCTTTTTTACATTGACAATTTACTCAGATATCATGTAATAAAAAGCAGTCTGATAAATTGCCTTCAGAAATAACTAAACTAGAATCCAACTCTTGTCTTATTTAATCCCAGCTTAGATCCAGCAAAACAAGGAACACAGCAGTAAAGTCAGGGGTAGAAATGTGAGTTTAAAGCATTACTCCAATTCCTGAACATAAAAAAAAGAATAAATATACATATAACTGTCCCTGGACTCTGGAGGAGCTTCATAGATCCACAACTTGGATAAGAGAATAATTGGACAGGACAAATATTAGTGCTGCACCCTGCTAAGGGAAGAACTACACAGAAGCACGCCAATAAAGAAATATGATGTTTACATTTACAGAAAGACAAACCAAACATGCAGAGGAAGGTGCTCTGTTCACAGGAAATAAAACATAAACATTTCAGTGCACATGAAAACTCTGTGTGTGATGGTTTGGGGAAGTTTTGATTTACTTTTGTATGTTTACCTTTTTGACACTTGTTTTTGAGCTGGTTTCTCTTGCTATTTGCTATCTGTTATATTTTTGTCTTTTTTATCAGTGGGGATTGGTTTTACCTTGTGTGTTTCGCTGTGTACCCCTATTTAAACGTCCTTTCCTCAGTCAGAGCTTTCAGTAATTAAATTAGCTCACCTGTCCCTTACTACCTGTACTCCTGTTATCATGTGTTTAAGTTGCTATTCCCCTTTTTGTTTTGTGTTGTTCTTAAAGTCAGCGGTTAAGCTATTGCTTCACTGTTTGCCTGCCTGCTAATCAGGTTAATAGATATAACAGAATGCGCTTCATCTACTTTAGGTGTAAGTTCTACATTCAGGCTCATAAAAGCTTCTGTTTATCAAGGAAGAAACCAGCAGAGGGAAAGCCAAGGTGCATCTTCTGCTTGGTGCCCTTACGACAAATAACATACAAAACTTAAAGGTTTAGTGGAGGATTTGTAAAGACCCTCTCTCTCCACTTTAAAAAAATAAAATGTACATGCACAACCCTGTACCCGCCCCTGAGAGCGAACGTCTATTAAACGCGTGTGAGAGTGTGCATAAGCCCATTTCTCCTTGTGCACGCTTTTCTTAAAAGTTGCTGTTTGCATCGCTCATACAAGCTTACTTTCTAAAAGAAGATTTGCAGTTTTTATATTATGTCAGACTCACTACCAGTAAGTGAAAACGGGCACGTAGGACAGCCTTCTGTAAACATATCACCAGAATGATTGACAATTAGGAGGACTACTTATTTTGATGATCCACCCAGAAAAAGAACATCCTCCACTATACCTTTAAAGCTGTTCATTCCTGTAAGCTCCTACAGAAGTTCTTTATAGTTGTGACAAACTAAAACATGTAATTTCTAACCAGAAAGTCAAGACACAAACTTTACAGTGATCAAAATTATTTCATAACTTACCCATAGATTACTATAATTTAATTCAGTTCAGTTTATTTATATAACACCAATTCACAACTCATGTCATCTCAAGACAATTTACAGTTCAACCAGATCATACAGTCAAATTGATTCAAAGTTTTCTATCTAAGGAAAACCAGCTGATTGCATCGACTCATTGACTCAAATACAATCCCTCACACTAAGCATGTTTGTAGCGACAGTGGAGAAGAAAAACTCCCATTTAGCAGGAAGAAACCTCCAGCAGAACCAGGCTCAGTGTGAGCGGCCATCTGCCGAGGACAACTGTGTTTCAAGGAGACAGAAGCAGAGATACAAAAAGCAGCTGTAAAAGGCGGCCCCGTCCAGGAAACACACAGCCAGGCAGACGAGCTCTGAGCCAGCTCCAGAATAGTTCTCTGCTCAAAAACCCGTTTCAGTGGAGCGTACTTCAAAGCCTCTGGTGTAAATATGCCTGTAAGCTATGCTACTTACACACACGCTGTGAATTCGTCTGATGTATTACATCATTGTTTAGAATTTAAAACAGCTTAGAAATAAACTTCTCTTCTTTACTTTTTTGGTTCTGGTTCTGCAGAGTAGATGCGATCCTGAGAGGCCTGAGAGGTGTCTGTAATGTATTTTGGAGCTAAGCCATTCAATGATTGATTGACCAACATGTATTTTAAAGCTAATTCTCTGAGATATGGGGAGCCAATGTAACAATTTTATATCTAGGCTTAGTGATGTATTTCAGACATAATGAAAAAGATCACATTAACTCATATTCATGCTTAGAAGGGTTCAAAGTCTAGGGCTAAATTCGACTGAAAAGCTGCAAAGATTTCCAAAGTTGCTCAATCCAATCTGATTGATGATGACTAAGATCAATGTGCATGGATTCTGTTTTCTAGATGTGTAAAACTGGTCGAATCGCACTCTTAAAAGATCTGTACTGTTATTGCAGCTAAAAGATGTTTTTCTTAGAATTGTCTGATGGTGACTAATTACATACATACACTCCACCATTTTCAGATTTGTATCAATACAAAATAATCACCTTAGATTTTCCTTCAATTTCAAATTCATGAATTGAGGCTCGTAGCTCTGATTAGATATGCAAAAATATGAATAGCTTTGCACTATTAGAGGGGCTGAGGCTGAAAAGTAAAGGAAGATGGAGCGTTGCTCTGACATGATGATTAATGGCTTAATCAGGAGGAGTGTGTCAGTGTCTAAATGGTCCTCTCCTGCACAACCACAATAGCTCAGAACCTGAGGGACGAGGGCTGTCAAACACTCTGATAAAAAGCCTGAAAGTGAGGCAATGTCAAATCAGCTGCTTTTTTGTTCACGTTTTAACTCTGATTTTGTTTTTTTTCCTTACCATTTAAAGCAGTTATTCGTTGTGTAGATGTGTATGGAGGTGTGTTAACTCACAGCTTCCAAACTTTAGGGGGCAGGCGTGGGCATCCATAGGGAAATCCTCCAGTTGCATTGGACATTCTGCGGAGATGGTGAGCCTGAAAGAGAAAGTCCAACACCCAGAGTGAGATGCTGCAAAGCAATGTGACAAATGTGATTTTTTTACTTTCAAAAAAACAAGTAAACAAGTAAAAGAGAAATAACCATTATTCTTCTATAAAGTAGCAGCAAATTACCACCAGTGGGACTTTTATACAACTAGAAATAATAGAATGAAACAACTTTGAGAGTGTGGAGCTTCCTTGGGTGTAAAATTATGCCACCTCTGTAAAAATAGCAAACCTGCTTAAGCAGAAGCAACAGAAAGCTAATGAGCTCTAAAGTCTTGTATAATGCTGCCCTCTGCTGGCTGCTGCATGAATAGCTGCAGACTTCTGATGTGCTGTAACCCAAATGCAGGCCAAAATAATGCAAACTGTTATAAACCATGAATTAATTAACTATGAATTAAACTAAATGTTTATTTAAAATATCTATAGGTATCTGTTACTGCCAGAAACTACATTGGTTTAAAATTACCTTAAAATTAATTCAGAAACCCACGAGTAGCTGTAAAAATAGGTCATAAGAAACTTTTGTTCCTGTGTTTTAATTTCCTCAGAAAGTCTTCCCTGGTGAATATGAAAAAACTGTTTTCTTTTGTATGTTTCTTTTAAAGTATATATATATATGTTTTAATGCATGAGGAGTGACTTTTTAAGCTACAGATTTTTAGCTGTGGATAGTAAAACTTCCTTACCAGCTTTTATTCAATCAATTTTTCTTATGATTGAAGACATCGGTCTATGCAGTTAAAGGCTTAATTAATTTCTCAAAATCAATTTTGTGCTCCAATAATTTAGCACTAAGAAGTTAAAGGTATTTGAGTCAACAAAAACGGAAGAGTGCCTGAATAAATGCAGCTGTGATTTTGTTAAAAATGCATACTGTCCATTTTCTCTTTGTCCAGTAATCCTCATATTACCACTAAAATATTCCTGTGTCCCAAAGATCTATAAATAAAAAAAGCTGACATTATCCGGGATTTCAAACCACTGAACTCTTTTCTTACATATGTGAAAAAAATTCAACATTTTAAAATCTCAACAATCCACCCAGCCTGAATACAAACCACTACTTATTCAAAACAAGAAGAAAAGAAAATAAGTCTGATTTAATGTCAGGCAGTAAGAACTAAAAGGTTATGTGTCTTTTTATACAATATAAGTAAATAGTAAACATTTTCCTATAGTTTCCTTATTTAAATATTTAAATCCAAATCACTTCATAATGCTCTGTGTATTCCAGTAATCAGAGAAAAAAATGCATGAACATTAAACATCAAATGCTGGATGTGTTAAAGAAACTGAAACTTATTCCTTCTGTTTTTATGACATTTAGATAAAAGGAATGATTAGACAGCGAGTCTTTCCTTAGAGTGAGTCAGTGGATCGATCATTATTGAAACAGACTCTTGGAAAGAGAATTGATCTGTTTAAAAGATGCAAAACTGGATCATCAGTAAGAAATGTCACAAAAAGAGTGCAACAAAAGCAGTGAGAGAAGTATATGAAGCAAAAATAAGGATGGATGAAGTATCAAGCATCAAGAACAATGAAAGGTATCTAATCTGCTTCTGTAAAGATGTGAAAATCACATGTTTTAAACTTTGTATTAATTTCTGAGAGCAGTAATTGCTTCACAAACACTGGTCAATGTTTACCAGTAAAATCAGATTGAAATATTGAAGGTATGTTTTATGATCTTATAACAAGTTACATAAAAATCATAATCTCTGTCAGTCAAAATTGGAATGAGCATGTCAGGCTTTTTAAAGCTCTGTGACCAGTGATCGGTGTTTTAACAGAACAAACCAGTTGACCTGCGCTCTGATGGACAGACAGATGTTTACAGACTTTATAAAGGGCATTAAAGGATATTTAAACCAAGCATTGGTTTAAATATAACAAAACAAAGCTTTGTTCTGGCTTAGAAAACATGCAAATTGAACCGGTTTGGTTCGTTAGGCTTCTTTATTAGCCTGCAATGCCCGATACCTGTCTATGTCTCTGAAAGGGGGTCATTAGAGGGAATTATTGGCCTGGCTGAACACAGAACACCTCACCTGTTCAATAATATTTTAGTACAAAGATTGATGTTTAAAAAGGAATTGTAGGGGACCAGCCAAGGACCCTTCAAGGAAAGAGGGGAAATGTTGAATAGCTACTGCAGTATAATGCAGCTATGGTTATTGTCTGATATTGATATCAGCATGAGTCATACATGCTTTTATTGCTAATCTGGTGGAGTTGAATGTTAGAAAAACCTTGAAGTAATATCACTCACAATTTCCTATGTGTTTTTTTTACAAAGTAAATTGGATAAAAATATTATCATATCTCTGTAAAGGTGCAAATTAAACATCTGTTCCTCTAATCTCATACAGGTGTGGAAGGAGACTTCTAGGAGTTACTGTTTTCATCTTCTGTGTTTATTTTTGCTGTTTTGTTTTATTTTCTCTCTTTTCATGCACTCTTTCCTGCCTTTATTTCTTTCTCCCCTTGCTTCCCTTCACCATTGTATACATATATAATTTTTTATATATAAGTACCAAGCGGAACCTTATGGCAGCAGTCAGGATGGTCTGCTTGTGAAAACAAAGCTGCAGTTCTAGCTCTGGGACATCTATTGCCAGAGCTATATTGGCAAAACAGGAAACAAAAAAAGAGGCAACTGTGAGTGGCTCTCATTATTTCTTCTGTCCCTGAACAACCATGACCAATAAAAAGAGAACACACTACTGGAAACACAATCATACAACAAGCCGTTCCCGTATATTTACTCAGGCACGTAGCTTGTAAAGTGAGGCATTTCACAGCGTCAAACCAAACTATATGTTCCCTTTGAGAGAAATGTTCATGGTAGAGCGGTTACAGCATAGGAGAGCAGAGTGCATGCATAAAATGTTCTGGTAATAACCTCCTTCCCGGAACACAGACGCATTAACGGACCATTGCAAGCTCATTTGTTCTTGGTTGCAGCTTTTGCAAACGTACTGAAAAACAAAAGCGGATTTTAAAGGAAGTGAGTCAGTCGTTGTTTTAGACGTGCAGCCAGGCTAGCATTCGATTAAAGACAATGACCCAACACCCTGTAGTGTGGAAGACTTGGCTCCACTTGAACTTGTAATGTTCAAAAGACACGGGAAGCATCTTAGATAATCAGAGAACAGAATGAAATCCAGACATTCTGCGTATAACACCTTCATATTTAAAAAAGAAGATATGTTCATGAAAATATTTATACCCCCCTTTTCATAATTTGTCTAAGAAATCTGAATAGTGAGGCTTGCATTTGTATTTGTAATTAAAATTGGATTTATCTCCTAGATTTGCATATCAAAAACAGAAAATGCTGCTCTTTATTCTCAACTTGCCACAGAAGGGTCCGGGTCTGGACTTTGACTGCCGTTTGAACACATGAGTATTCTTTCCGCTGAATGAACGTGTGGAGATGTCTTGCTGAACGGCGAATATCAGCACCAGTTTCAAGTCTTTTGCAGCTGATTAAAGGGTTTTTTCAAAAAAGTTCTATACTTGGAGTCATGATCTTCCCATCAGCTCTGAGCAGCTGCCAGGTCAGTAATGAGGACAAGCAGTCCCACATCATGATGCTGCCACCAGCAGTTTTCACATCAAGTAATGCGTTTGTTCTTCTTTATGTCTCATCCTGTCCAAGGGAAACACAAACCTTTTGAGAACATCCTTCTGGACCTTTTTGCATCATTCCTTCATTTTTATAATTAAAGTAATTGTTGATGAAGGCATAGAACACGTATTGTAAATGGATATTTGAAAAAATGCTCCTTCTTTAAAGGTTTGAGAGGAACTTTTTTAACTTTACAAATGTATCATTTCATTTTTTTCACATTTTATTCTCTCAAACTAAAGTTTTTTTTTTAGTTTTTTTTTTTACAGATTTCTCTTTTGAATTACTCTCTTTTTCAGACCGCGTTTTAGTGATCACATTCTGTTTCCTTTAAGCGTAACACAAACGCTTGTTCTGATCATTGTTTTGAACATCAATACAGACCAACGGAAATGCGGCGTTGCTTTTCAATTCAGAAAAAAAGAGCAGAGAATGTGATCTGTGAAAAGCAATTTCAAAAGAATGCAATTTGTAAAATCCTGTCTGTAAAGAGAATTTCAACAAAAAAAATTAAAAAGTTTTTATTATGTAAAAACAAAATGGAAAAAGATGAAAGTTCCCAAAATTAAATTGTTATAAATATATTTTGAGAAAATTAAATCCGAAAAAACAGCAAAGTTACTCTATAAACTTCCACTTACAAAATCTGTTGTAGACTTACAAAAATAATGGAACATATTTAACTCCATATTGATAATCAATTATAGGATGATTCTATTTACTAAGCAGGTAGCGCCTGAAGGCAATTTGTTGAACTTGTTTGCTGGTGTCAAAGTAAAAGAGGATGAAAACAACCTACGATCAAAGTTTCAGATGGTTATTTGAAAGAATTTGGAAAAGTATGATTTGCTTGCTATCTAATTTCCAATTCTGTGGCATCTTGTGTTCATATGCAGGGTTTATACAGGGATGAGCAAATCTAATTTAATGCTTTTTAATGCTCTTAGAAATCATTTTAATGCCATCAATAAGTACCCATGAGTCATATATATATAAAAAATATAGATAGATAGATAGATATATAGTTATATATATTTTTTCTCCGCCTTGAGCTTATTTTCCGAATATACAGCTTTCTGATCAACAGGAAGCAGTTCTGCGCAAATACGTGGAACCATTTATATCTGATATAATGTATCTGACGAAATTGTTGATAGAGACATTTTATTTTATTTTAAATAAAGCGTTTTAAATGCCACAATAATCACATTTAATGAATTTTAATGCCAATTAAGGCCTTATTATAAAGAATAATAATTTAATGAGTTTTAGTGATGTTTAATGACCTGCAGAAACCCTGATATATTAACACTAAATACAAATACATCAATGTTTGTGTCTATAAAGTAAGAAACAGTGAAAGGTTAAAGGGGAAGATATGCTCTTATAAAAACTGTAATCTATTCTGTGTCTGTTTCAAGACCAAGATTAAAAGGTACAAATGATAAAGCTGTTGTTAAAAGGTAATTCCAAACAGAGCTTGAATAGGGTCAAAGCAAATGTGAAGTTTGCCTGACCTCTTGTTAAGAGTACGAGGACAAACACGATGATGCATCGTTGCACTATCAGGTCAGTGAGAACGAGTGTGTGGGCCGTATCGGTGCAGCAGTACTCCAAAAACCTCTCAACGCAGCAAAGAAGCAGGTGGAGGTTTTAGTCATCTCTCTGCTGCTAATTGGATTGCACAACAAGATTCCCTCAGCTCTAATGAATCACTGTTGTAAAGCGTAAAGCCCACCTCATGGTGTAAAGGAGCGTCCCGTCGTCTTTGAGCCGCAGCAGCTTGTTGGGCGTGGTCATGTTGTGTGCAATGGACTTTTTCCCGTTGAGGAAGAAGGTGTCGGGCGTCCAGATATTGCTGGCCAGCAGGTTATTCAGGGCTAGCATCTCCATCGGGCCTTTGAAGCAGAGCCTCTCATCTTTCCAGCTCTGACGGAAGAAGACGTCGATGGTGTATTCCTACAGAAAGAGACTTCCGTTGTATGAAAACTGTGTAAAAAATTCATGTGTAAAATAATGTAATTTAACTTGTGATTTAGTGGATATGAGACCTGATTTACTTATCAACACTCAAACAGTGATTCTCTCAAACAGTAATTATGGTGGAAACCTAAATAGAACGTACCATTTCCGTGTCAGAGACGGGACCAAAGCTTGTGACAAAGATGTTTGTTTTGATCTCCGTCACCTTTTCTGTTAGAAAACACAGAAAATTATGAAACTTTATTGTAACAACACAAATTATCATTTTATTTACTGCTTCTACTATGAAGCTCTGATGCAATTATTGCAATCCACTAGAAACTTATCATTGTCTGAAAGTTTGAGGAGCTGAGTCAACTTTCCATTTTAAAATAAAGGCTTCTTAAAGAAAACTTAGATTGATGTAATGCTATGTTCAGTGTCCCTTAAGTTTGACAGTATAGTTGTGCTGATTAAACTGTGGGTATGTAAATTAATCTCACAGTGCAGCAACTTCACTCTCCAGCTGTTGGAAGTTGTGGCGTTCCTCAGGAATCTACCTTGGAAAATGCTCTCTATACATCCCGCCAAACACCCACTACAAGGATATCTATTTTAAGGATTATTTTTTAAAGTTGTTTCCTTTTATGCATCAGAAAAAAATGCTCTAAGAATGGGACTGTAAGTTTAAAATAATAATAATAATAGTGTTCTCTTGATGATTCATTTTGGTTTAATTTTCTATGGAGTTAATTTTGTTTCATTATTGTTGGAAGAATAGACTTTCAAATGGAAATATAAAATCTGTGAAAACAGCAAAGACAAAAAAAACCTTTTATTTGTTTTTCAAATTGTACTTTCTGGATTGCATTGGATTGCATTGCTTTCAAATTTCCATGTGACATCCTTGCAACAGTAATGAAAGAAAACCCACTCCTTACTTTCAATATAATATTGAAAGACAATTGAAATGATTGAAATGCTGATTTGAGAAACAAATTTTGGCATTTAGACAACAGAAAGTTAGACATTGTTACTGTATGTTTGATCTTCCAAATGTCTCGTCAAACATTGCGCCACACAAATTGAATCTTCTTACCCAATCACCAGAATTTCAGTCTTTAAAAAATATGACAAACAAGCCAACACTGTTTGAAGGAGATACATTTTAAAACTGAAACTTTGTGAAACTAAAATTCCACCTTTTAAGAAGGAATGCGGTTCAATTTGCTATTATCATCTCAATGTGATGATATCAAAGTCGTCTTGAGTTTAGCATAAGGAGCATCAGGTAGTGTCTGTGTTTGTCTGCAGCTGGTGCTGAAATGAGCAGCTAGCTGTTTATACTGGACCAGAGGTACATGATGACTGGGATCTTAGCAGCCCAGGTTTACTGGGTCCTTTAGAGGACGCTGCAGCCGAAAACAAATAAAACCTAAATCAGGCCTGCAGAGAGTCTGCCCTCGAGGAGCGCTGTCCTGCAGGTTTTAAAGGTTTCCCTGCTTCAGCTCCGCTGATTCTGATGATTTCAGTTCAGCAAAAGCATCTTAATCAGCTATCAATACTGAAGCAGAGAAACCTCAAAAACCTGCAGAACAGCAGCACTAGAGGGCCAAATTCAGGCAGCTGTGCTCTAAGGTCAGTATTATCACTGGAAAAGAATTAAATAACTTTAAAATGTGTGTTGTCATTTATTCACAGCACATTGGGTGAGCAACTCCTGTCTATATATCCCCAGTTTGGTCTGAAATATGTCTAATAAACTAATGAGAGAGCTTTCTAGGGTCTGTCATGCTGCCAAATACCTCAGCAGAATCAAAGGATGAAAAATTTATTTACAAATTTTTTTTGGCAAACATGTTGACAGAGAGAAATAAAAACCAAGACGAAGTTTTCTTATCTTGCTTAATGAGATGCCGGCAATCAGACGTCAGGGTTTCTATGGCGGCGAACTAGTTCCGCCTCTTTGACTTCAATGATTGTGTGAAAGTAAAAATGTATTGTATATTGTGTTCTTCAGCAGTGACATAAAATCATTTAGTACATCATGAAATAAATAAATTTTATGATGTACTAAATAAAAATGTAATTGAATAATTAAAATAAAATCTTCTGAATTAAAGACACATTAAACAAATAATTTTATAGGTTTCTTGACGTTGGAAAACTTGTAATTCTTTATAATTTGTATTAAAACAAAACTTTATGTCCATTGTGTTTAAACAGTAGAACACCTTGAAATTATATATCTATATATATATATATCATCTATCTATCTATCTATCTATCTATCTATCTATATATATATATATATATATATATATATATATATATATATATATATATATATATATATATATATATATATATACACACACAAGTTCAGCAGACTTTTGAAGGTTTAAATCTAACAGTAAATGAGGGGATTCAAATATTATGGCTATTAATTATGATTAGCTTTGTGCTCACAAAGGTGCATGTGTTTTGTTTATAGTTTGTTTTAGACCAAAATTGTTCTTAGTTTTATGAATAATCGAATCTTTAATTCTTCTAACATGTAATTCAATGATCTTATCAAGGTCAAATTGGCCCTTTTTATCTCTATGTCACCCATCATTAGTACCACAGCAGCCCTACTGTTAATCAATTACACTCAACAAAAATATAAAAACAACACTTTTGGTTTTGCTTCCATTTTTTATGAGATCAAATCAAAGATCTAAAACTTTTTCCACATACACAATATCACCATTTCCCTCAAATATTGTCCATAAAGCAGTCTAAATCTGTGATAGTGAGCACTTCTCCTTTGCTGAGATAATCCATCCCACCTCCATATCAAGATGCTGATTGGATACCATGATTAGTGCACAGGTATGCCTTAGACTGGCCACAATAAAACGCCACTCTGAAAGGGACAGTTTAATAACACAGCACAATGCCAATGCACAATCAGAGGCGTAGCCAGAAAATCCTAATGGGGTGGCCAGTCAATAATAGGGATGGGAATCGAAAACCGGTTCCTGTTCAGAACCGGTTCCGTATTTTCCGATTCCATGGCATCGTTTGGCAGCTCGCTGAACGATTCTTTTTTCGATTCCCGCAGCACCAGAGCCTAGAGCGCCGGCTCTGGGGAGCACGACTTACGTCACGTTTTTTACATAAGTTACGTAAGTTACGCAAGTTACGCAAGTTGGAAGAACTATTCGAGGAGGAAGACAACGAGCTGCGGTCACTTTGTGAATCAAAGCCCCGTCTTTCCTTAGCCTAGAGGGTAGATCAGGAAATCCAGCTCTATAAAAGCTTGCCCTCCATCCCCTGCAGGGATAGCGCCACACTGTGGTGGTGGAACAAGCAAGATACGCTGCCCTTGCTATCTGGACTGGCTGAAAACTACCTCTGTGTGCAGGCTTCCTCCACCCTATCTGAGAGGGTGTTCTCCACGGCTGGAGACACCATACGCGCTGAAAGATCCCGTATCCTACCAGAAAAGCAGATATGCTCATCTTTCTGTAAAGAACTGTTAATTTTCCCTACTACTGTTTTATAATTAGTATTTTTTGTTATTTAAAAATAGGTTATTATCCCATCATTTGTTATTAGACATTGTTGGTTATTAAGTTTGTTCTTGTATTCATTTTTCATTTAAAAGCAGATGTTACTCCAGTTTCACATTTCCTGTGGACATCTTGATCTTGTTGATTTTGTAAGATTGTGCAATAGTTAAGTAAACAAAGTTGATGCTGAACAAACTGTTTGTTCTCCTTTTCCCCCCAAATTGGAATCGAAAAAAGAATCAATAAAGAATCGAATCGTTTCATAGAATCGAAAAGGGAATCGGAATCGTGAAAATCTTTTCAATTCCCAACCCTAGTCAATAACCAATGTATATTGAGGGGTGGCCGAAAGGCACCAGAACCTCAGGGTCAATCTACTGTACACTGTTCCAACAGGAATGAGCACAACATTCATATTTTCTAAATAAAGACAAACTATACTATCCTTCAGCCTTTGCTAACATCTATAATGTGTAAATAAAAGGTATAGTGGACAAAATTCTTTCAGGTTTGAGCTCTTGGGCGAACATATTTTACATTGTCATTACCTATTTTTATCAATAATCATTCTGCAAATGAATTATTTTAAATCTACTAGTATCCACATTTAATGAATTTTTAAGTTCTTATTAAAGTAATTATTTATCGATGATTTAAATGAAGACTCCTAGATGACTTGCAGACGCACGTAATTTTATCTTTACCCCAAATAATTCCAAATTTAGCTCTGAAAAGAGCATGAATTCTGTATCTAGCATCTTTAATGTTTGTATATTGATGTGCATAATTGACTGCAGTGTTTCTGTTGTCAAGCAGTTGTTGATAAATGAAAAGTTTAAATGTTTAAAATTTTTGAACATTCCCCTTCAGAGTATTACTGCTGCCACCGTCTGTATTACAAGGAAAAAATAGTAGGGGTGGCCACAGGGGTGGCCAGTGATTGGCTCCAAGACCATCTGAGAACAGCCACCTTGACAGATGCTGAAACAATCAGTTCACATAACCAAAGAATTTCTGCATAAACTGTCAGAAACCGTCACAGGGAAGCTCATCTGCATGCTCGTCGCCCTCATCGGGGTCTTGATCTGACTCCAGTTTGTCATCGTTACCGAGTTAAATGAGCAAATGCTCACATTCGCTGGGCTCTGCCACGTTGGAGAGGTGTTCTTTTCATGGATTAAACCCAGTTTACACTGCTCAGGGCAGATGGCAGACAGCATGTTTAGTGTCGGTGTGGGTGAGAGGTTTTCTCATGTCAATGTTTCGGATCGAGTCTCCCATGGTGGCGGTGGGCTTATGGTATGGGCAAGCGTCTATTATGGACGAAGAACACAGGTGCATTGTATTGATGGAATTTTGAATGCACAGAGATATCGTGACGCAATGCTGAGGCCGATTGTTGTGCCGCACATCCAAGAAGATCACCTCATGTTGCAGCAGGATAAAGCACAGCCCCTTGTTGCAGGGATCTGTACACAATTCTTGTAAGATGAAAATGTCCCACTTCTTGCATGGCCGACATACTCACCGCACGGGAAATGTTACCCATTAAGCATGTTTGGGATGCTCTGGATTGGCGTTTACAACAGCGTGGACCAGTTCCTGCCAATATCCACTTGGTGATGAACTTGGCACAGCCATTGAAGTGGAGTGGACCCACATTTCACAGGCCACAATTGACAACCTGATAAATGCGATCCAGGTATCCAGGATCCAGGATGATAAACTGTACTTTTCAGAGTGGCCTTTTATTGTGGACAGTCTAAGGCACAACTGTGCACTAATCATGGTGTCCAATCAGCATCTCCATATGGCACACCTTTGAGGTGGGATGGATTATCTCAGCAAAGGAGAACTGTTCACTGTCACAGATTTAGTCTGTTTTTTTTAATAATATTTAAGGGAAATGGTGATATTGTTTATGTGGAAAAAGTTTTAAATCTTTGAGCTCATCTCATAAAAAATGGGAGCAAAACCAAAAGTGTTGCCTTCACATTTTTTGTTCAGTGTAATATCAATAACAGACTTTTGTGAAGCCATAACAGTTAATGCTAATGTTATAACGACATCAAAATCCATAAAGAGAGGGTCTGATCAGATAAGCGTCTGTGTTTTTCTCAAAAAGCAGTACCCTGGTGCAGCTCTGCCACAGAGAGCAAATTAAATTCCCCAACTTCACTATAACTCAGGCTTTGGTGTTTTAAAGGTAGATTTATCCACTTGGCTTACCTCCCAGACCGGGCCGGAGTCTGTTGTCATAACCATCGAGCAGTCCATCCAGGATGCGGGTGAAGATGGTGATGTTGTCGTTTAATTCTGTCTGTCTAGGACTTCCAGCTACTTCCTGAGAAAAGCTGGATGAAAGACAACTTTTTTCTTTAAGCAGTTACCGTGCCTCTGCATTAAGCAAACATGCCAGCATTCAGTTCCTCACCTCAGCCGGCAGGTGATGCTCACAAGCAAGAGAAAAAGGCATAGACGTTTCATTGTGTAGCATATCCCATTGCCCATTCCTAAAACACACAGATAGCAGTTCCTGCATGAATGGTACCAAACCTCCTCCTATTTTCATACAAAATATGATCAATAGCACGACCACTCCCCTGAAAAAGCAATTAAAAAAATAAAAATCTATTAAAAAACAGAAAAAAACAAATCTGTGCCCGTTTCCATCAAATAAAGGGAAAAACACAACTGGGTTTTATATAGTGTAGCACCGATACTGATACCAGTATCCCAATACTGCCCTAAAATGGTGGTATCTGTATCGGTGAGTACCAACAAATAGGGCACCGATACCATTTTTAGAGCCAAAGGTTTATTCAACTATTGTCTCCCATTCCAGGTAGGCAATAAAAAGTTCTACTGGATTCACTTATTAGTCTTTTTTCTTCTTCACAAAGGTAGGCAGCAGCTTGACAAAGCCATGATGGAAATTATTTTACATCCAAGTAGGATGCAGTTCTTCACATATACACACACACGTAAATTTCAGACAGACGGTATCGGTATCGGCCAATACTGCACAGCCAGGTATCGGTATTGGAGCCAAAAATTAGCATTGGCACAACACTATTTTTATATTTCTAAAAGTCTGTTGGGGAAGAATAATAACTTAGATGAGGATAGAGCAGTTCTTATATATTCCATTTTTCAGACATCTTAAAAACTGAGAAAAAGACCCTTAATCCAACAACTCTGATTGTTTCTACACTGCACACACAAGAGTAGCACCTATTCCACAGTGTTTGCCCAAATTTGTAGGCATATTAAAACTCACAAGTCTTTTTTTAAACTTACATACTAATTGCCCCCAATTTATGCCACCCTGGGCAAATAGTCCTTCTAACAAGATAGAGGATTTATTGTAGCACTGTTGCAGGGAGTGAATCATCTCTATATTAAAATCCCTTAGCTGAGATTGTATTGTGTAAATTTATGCAAAAAAAAGTAATGTTTTGTTGTTTTTTTTAATGAGGAAACAGACTTTTTAAATTAAGCATTGTCTCAGTGCAGGACGAAAGGACAAAATAAGCAAACATGCAATAAAATCTCCAGGTCAGGTATATCCAGTGACCAAAAACACAACCCGCCTCTGCAGAATCCACATAAACATTCTTAAGATATTTATGAGTCATGCCAATTTAAAAAAATAAAGTAAATAATCTATCATCTAAAATCCTTAAGCCTATATCAGAGCATCTGTTCTGCCCATCTGACGTTCATGAAGTTGGTTCCTACTAATCATTTCAATCAACCAAACACCCTCATCCCTGAACATCTAAATCCTGCATCACATTCAGAGCTCTGCGCTGCAGACATCCCAACTAATAGCGTGGATCCCTCCCATCCGCTCTCATCTCTAAGCAATGCAGCAGCCTTTCCTCCCATGCCCACCAGCCCACTACATCTCCCACTCTGCTGCTGTGCCGCAGTTTGCCAGATCTCACCACGGCGGAGGATCAAACTTCTCTCTCACACGCAGACTGCGCTCATCCGCTCCATCTGAAAATGAAGACTGGTTTCAATGTCAGCCAGGTCTGTAGCTGCATCTTGCAGGGAAAAAAAACGACTAAGGGCTTCCCCATCTACAGCTCTGCTGACTGACCATTCTTTTAGTTGGTCTCCAAGGTGCAGCACGGTGAATTCCTAGTGTGTGTTCAGCAGGAGAGGACGTAGTAAGATCCACTGCGTAATGAGCAAAACTGGGCGAGAGAGCAGAACAGCAGGAGGATGTGTAATATGGGAGGGAGAGAGACAGAGAGAGAGAGAGGGGGGGGGGGGGGATGGAGAGAGGATATAGAGAAAATGTGAGGAAAAGAGGCAAATTTAGAGTCTTTCTGAAATTTTTGATACAAGCATCCTGTAACTTCATCTTTGTGTGCCTTCTTTTAATAAATGTTTCAATCTGAAAAACTCACACAAAGAGAAAAGACAATTAGGAGAAATTTATTGATACAATTACTTTGTCTTTGGCGCTCAGACCTCAGGAAACATAAAGCTAAATTTTGATAGATAAGCATGAACAGGAGTAAAGAACAGGGCTGTTTCCCCCCCCAGACCTGAAACTGGTGGTGGAGTGGAGATAGATGAAGTTGGTCAGTCTGTAGACTGCTGGTTAGCCAGACGGTCTGCTGAGCTTTATGGGTAGATCCAGTGGACTGCGTGAGCTGATACTAGAGCTTCACTCAGGGACCTGGAAGATGGAAGTCCAGTTGGATAACACAGGTTGAGAGTACCTGTCCATGATGAGCAAGCATGAAGCGACAGTGGAGAGGAAAAACTCCCTGTTGGGAAGAAACCTCTGGCAGAACCAGGCTCAACATGGCGGTCTTCTGCCAGACCAATTAATATGAGACAGGGAACGCAGTAAGAGTCCGGGAGGAGTGAAACTCTGGTGAAGCTTTAGCTACGATGGTGGAGGAGGGGTTGGAGGTGAGTTGAAACAGGGTCATCTAAATGAAGTTACAGCGCACCCGCTGCCGGCGCACAGGAGCAGACAAGTGCATATCGGAGGCCTTTTAAGATGAACTTTGGATGCCGATTGGCTTTCATGGAGGCGTGGTTTAAAGCTGATTTGGCAATGAGTTTCTTTAGTTGAACTTCCGCCTAGGCTCCATTTTATGTAGTTTGTGCTTTTGAAGATTCTCAGTTATCCAGGTCATAGTCATTCCAAAAAAAGTTAATTAAAAACAGTCCAATGGACTTTGTTTCCAAGTTTTGATACGTTTCGCTTCCCATCTAGGAAGCTTTTTCAATTCAAAATGTCAAGAATGTCATGGTGGGGTGGAGGTTTGACAGGACCCAAACGCAGTGACTGGAGCTGAGGTGGTTTCTTGCAAGATTGAATTAACCAAAAAAGGGTAACAGAAGAAAAAATACAAAAACATAAATCCACAAAATCCAAAAATACTGAAAACTAGGAATACTCACAACAAGGGGGCCAAGAAATGACTGAACAGGAGGAGAATATATGGGAGAGAGAAGCAAAGACCAAAATAATTAGCAGATTGGGAGCAGGTGTGAACAGAGGAGGCAAGAAGGCAGCTATGGAAAAAGGAGACTGACACAAGATAACTAGATAATAACTAGAACACAAAATGGAAATAAGACCAATAAAAACTCAGAGATAAAACCTGAACAAAACCAAAACCATGACAAGGAATAGCATTGAGATAGAGGCTCTTATACAGTAGCCTATCAGAACCTTGTTTCTGTTTTGAAAACATGCAAATATAAACTGATGAAAGGGTCCACCCCTTTGGAATGGGGGTCGTTCGGCTTCTTTTGTTAGCCTGCAATGCCCGCTACCCGTCTAAAGGCTGATTTATACTCAGAAATCAGGCCGTCCCTTCTGCAGACACTCTGCTGCACCTCTCCAAAATTGTAGGGGAGCGCAGACAGTGCCGCAGACAGGAGGCCTCTGATTGGTCAAATTTATATCCGTGCTACACCATGAGTATTTCCTGTTTGGTACCTTACCAGATTGTTTTGTTTGTATGACCGCCATTGTGGAAAATGACTCATGAAGAAGGACCAGCTAGAAGATCGAGGTGCGGGAGAACACTAGCACCCTATTGCCACCTGGATGCCAGCTCCTTTTCATCCTCATGTTCCTCTGTTGTCGCACAAAATTTCCCCTTGCATTTTTCCACTTCCTCACCGCCTCGGTCGTATCTAGACCCACAGCTAGTTCCGGATTGTCCCTCTTGCGTTGTGGAATAACATACTGCAGACGACGCATCAAAATTCAGCATTAATCAAAAATATCTGCAACAATCTCACTGCCACACACTGCTACGGGAGGATAACCAGCCCTAGTGTCTGAAAGGGGGGTCGTTAAAGGGAATTGTTGGCCTGGCTGAGGGCTGGGGCTGCGATGATAGTGGGAAGGGAAGACATTATTTTCAGAACCAGAATGTTCACATTTTGGATAAAGACAATAGGTGGATTGAGAGGGGCGTGAAGGAAGCCATCTGTGTTAAGAAAGAAAAAACAACCGTAAACAGAGGTGGTGGACTCAGGTTTCAGCTTTCAAAAACCTACAATGCAGCTATTGAGTTAATCCCTTCCCGCTAACATCGCAACAATCGGACCTCAGTGGGGCCCGAAGCAAAATATGATTTTGGGGCCAGGAATGATGGGCACCAGAATGTGAAGCCTCAATTTTGGTCTGGTATTGATGGATCTTAAAGAACTTCGTCAAAGCTGTTTCAAAACCCTGTAGTTTTTTTTTTTTAATGGAACACAAATTTTATTTTTTATCTTGAGCACATTGAGGTTTTATAGTCATTGCAGTCCAGTGTTTAACATGGAATAATTAATAATAGTCAGGTATAATTCAATGTTTTTGTAATTTAGAGGACAGATTATTTCTGCTATTTTCTCAAAATTATATTTATTTACAGCAGATAGAAATTGATGCCTAGCAACTAAAACTGATTAATATAAAACCAATGTTTTTTAAAGAAGATATGGAAATGTATTTTTTTTAAGCCTTTTATTGTCATTACGCTGTAACAACTACAGAGCAACAATGAAACTCTCTGCAGTAACTCATCCCCAACGGGAGCAGTGGGCTGCCATTGTGGGGGGCCCAGGGAGCAGTGTGGGATTAAGGGTCTTGCCCAGGGAGCCAGAGTTGCAGTCTGTGGGAGTGGGGCTGAAACTCTGGACCTCAGGATTCCAAGCACAATGCCCTAACACCATTCCCCGTAATTAAGCTCCCCGTCAGGGAGTCGAACCTTGGTCTCCCGCGTGACGGGGGGGATACTCTCCACTATACTAATGAGGACTATTAAAACAACGTGTCTTTAAGTTAAATTTAATCAGCTATCTGTAAATGCAGATTATTTACTGATGCAGTATGTTTATAAATTTCATCTCTGTGTTTCCCACCTTAAACATTCGTCCTTTCATTACATTTTATTGGGTCTCCAGATTCATGAATTGTTTGACAATGTATAAACTAGAAACAACTTCATTCAGCTGCAGAGAGCAAAAAACAATGTGAAATGTCTTCTTTTAGTAATTAGGTTAGCATTAAAATTATATAAATTTCAACTAAAAAGAAAAAAGCAGAATACATTAACAGATTTGAATAATTTCATTTATCATTTCATTGGGACTACTATTTGCATTTTATTATTTCAACTATTTCTTATTGACGTAAGTCAATGAAAAAGAATGATAATGTATTAAAGCTTTTTAATTACAACGTACCCTGTTTATATTCTAAATTGTAAAATGATAATTATTTCGAGCATTTAAATAGCAAAGGAAATATTTAATGACTATAAACCTAGACAATACTGACTCCTGTTTTCTGCATCCCCTAAGTAGGACACCCTGCTGAAAACTGCTGCTTTTATTTTCAGTGGTCTACATGTAGATTCCAGGATGTAAAACTATGTCACATAGACCCTGTGTGCATCCATCCATTGCTTTGCTTTCTGCCTAAAAATGAGGATCTGATGCCTTCCAGTCCACTGTAAGGATGTCGTAATATCACACCACAGAGATTGCAGAAGGCGTGCATGAATTTGAACACACGAGGAAATCCATGGTGATCTTTGACAGTTTGCACTAAAACAAAGCTACATGGAACAAGTCAGGGCAATGAAACTCAGCACTGCAAGAGCAGAAAATAATGCTTGCTCTTGTGTTTTCGCAGGAATGCTGTTGATGGGAATAAAAAGCTCTACGCCATTTACGATACAAGGTAAGAAAACACCCAGGAACCCTGCTGGTTAAATGAATAAAACAATAAGAGGCCTTTCACCAAATGTTTGCTGAAATTGTCAAGAAAAACTGGCATTGATCTATTTTACAATAAGACTTTTTTTTTTTTTGAAGGTCCAGTACTTTGCCAGTTCCCTACAAATGTTGTTAAACCATTTTCTCTACAACAAATGCATTATCAGGCCAACAATAAAGCTTGAAAACATTCTCAGGAAACCCTGATAAGAAACTGGAACCACTAGGCTGAAAATCTGGTTTCTGTTGAACTCTATTAGATCCAGGAAATTTTAGCTTTTTATATTTTTGATGTCATTTCAAGTTACAAGCAAAGCCATTACAAATGAATAAAGGTAGAGGGGAGACAGAGTCAGTCCACTTTTAAAAGCAATGGGATACTTTTTTTAAAACTTCTTCTACACATGGCCACAAAGAAAAACAACAGGAAAAGTATTATGCACATATACACTGTAAAAACGACAACTCAAAATTGTTCACCTTACTAAGATTTTTGCATTCACTGACAATAAAATTGCCAGTTGGAACTTGAACTGTCTTTTGTGAGCCAGTTGAACTCACTTTCATAAGTTTCTGATGAAAAGTTCATCTTATTCAATAAATTAAGTTGAGTTTACTTAGAAGTTGTAGTTGACGCCCAGTCCGAGCGAGGTCAACTTATCTGCGCATGCTCATTTCAAATTTGTCATGGCAACCGGCTGCTACAGGGTTTCCATGGATTTTCCCAGGAGCTCCCTTCTAAAGTTTGGTTCAGCCATCTGGTCACTCTGCTGGCGGTAACTTTCCCTGAGGACTCGTCCAAGAGAAGACTAAGGCACTGGTTTCCTGTCATCTCTGGCAATATTGCATTATCTGTAAGGTTTTAAAAGGAGTTGGAAAGTAAAAAAAATATGTGCTGAAACCTGATTTGCTTTAAGCATAAGATTACTTGTTTACATTGTGAAATTGTAAACCTGTTTTTGCCAAAGTGGTTCAAATAAACATGCAAAATTTAACTGGATTACTGTCAGGGCTGCTTGGTGGCGCAGTGGGTAGCACTGCTACCTTGCAGCAAGAAGGTTCTGGGTTCGATTCCTGGCCTGGGGTCTTTCTGCATGGAGTTTGCATGTTCTCCCAGAGCATGTGTGGGTTCTCTCTGGGTACTCCGGCCTCGTCCAAAAACATGACTGTTAGGTTGATTGGCTTCTCTAAATTGTTGAGTGTGTGCATGAATGGTTGTTAGTCCTGTGTGTCTGGTGACCTGTCCAGGGTGTACCCTGCCCCACTTGGGACAAGTGTGTAAGAAAATGGATGGATGGTTTACTGTCAGTGGATGATTTAATGGGGGGGGACTAAACTCAAAAATGTCCGTTTTTACAGGAGATGGTAATCTGATTTTAAAATAACGCTGTACAGATAATCTGAACTTAAAATAATAAGTTTTTACAGACTTGAAAGTTCCAGTAACTTGAATTAAAAAAACTTAGTTGGCAGAACTTGAAAAACTTAGTTGACACAACTTAATAAGTGTAGTTCTACAAAACTTAAAAAATTAAGTTGATGCCTTCAACTCAAAAATTCTGTGCAGCCAGTTGCCTTGAAATTTTGAGTTGAACTAACTTTTTCGTTTTTACAGTGTACTGATACATGTTTATAAGGTCATAGATAAATAAATGTCTTAAATATCAACCAGATTCAGTTCAAATCCCCCGAATGCAGTAACTAAATGTGTATCTTCTTAATACAGATACCTTTTTTACTTTTCATCAGATTCTATGTTTTTCATTCTGATAACCATGTTAATAATTACCATGTTAATTTTACTTACCTTTGGTTGTTTGTCACGGTGGGGCCGATGCCTATCTCCGACAGTCTATGGGCGAGAGGCTTTGTACACCCTGGCCTGGTTGTCAGTCTGTCGCAGGGCAACACAGAGAAACACAAAGACATACAGCCATGCACACACACACTCACAGACAATTTAGAGATGGCAATAAACCTAACAGTCACGTTTTCCGACTGTGAGAGGAAGCCAGAGTACCTGGAGAGAACCTAAGCATTCAAAGGGAGAACATGCAAACTCCATGCACAAAGTCTCTGCCCAAAATCGAACCCAGAACCATCTTGGTGCAAGGCAACAGTGCTACAAACTGCATACAATGTTTTTATGATAAATCAGGGCATCCTACTGGCGTGGTATTTATCATTTTTTTATCTTTAAGTTTTGTTTTTGTTCCGTTTGCAAGTAAATATGTTATTTATGTGTCCATTTTACCATAACAGCATCTTGTGAACAAGATTGCACATGCATTAAATTGGTCAACAAGCTGTAGTAAAGGGGGTAAATAAGAGTGGAACTCCCAGTGTAGTTGCAGAAAAAAAAGGGTCCAAGATCAAATGTTAAAAGGTGTAAGAAGCAGTTTGATTAAAAAAGTGGAAATTCAAGTTAAAGCTCAGGTGGCATTCTGATGTTGCCGCAAAGCTGATAGACATTTGAGTAGGTCCAGGTCCAGTGCTGCTTGTGTTAGTGTTGGTTTTTAATGAAGCATTACAGTACAGGTGGTCAGGACTTAATGGCTGCTGGGATTCTATTTAGGCTCAAAAAGGACAATCAAAACACTATATTGAAGGATGCTTGAAATATACACTCACCGGCCACTTTATTAGGTACACCTGTCCAACTGCTCGTTAACACTTAATTTCTAAGCAGCCAATCACATGGCGGCAACTCAGTACATTTAGGCATGTAGACATGGTCAAGACAATCTCCTGCAGTTCAAACCGAGCATCAGTATGGGGAAGAAAGGTGATTTGAGTGACTTTGAATGTGGCATGATTGTTGGTGCCAGAAGGGCTGGTCTGAGTATTTCAGAAACTGCTGATCTACTGGGATTTTCACGCACAACCATCTCTAGGGTTTACAGAGAATGGTCCGAAAAAGAAAAAACATCCAGTGAGCGGCAGTTCTGTGGGCGGAAATGCCTTGTTGATGCCAGAGGTCAGAGGAGAATGGCCAGACTGGTTGGAGCTGATAGAAGGGCAACAGTGACTCAAATAACCACCCGTTACAACCAAGGTGGGCAGAAGAGCATCTCTGAACGCAAAGTATGTCGAACTTTGAGGCAGATGGGCTACAGCAGCAGAAGACCACACCGGGTGCCACTCCTTTCAGCTAAGAACAGGAAACTGAGGCTACAATTTGCACAAGCTCATCGAATTTGGACAATAAAAGAAAAACGTTGCCTGGTCTGATGAGTCTCGATTTCTGCTGCGACATTCGGATGGTAGGGTCAGAATTTGGCGTCTACAACATGAAAGCATGGATCCATCCTGCCTTGTATCAACGGTTCAGGCTGGTGGTGGTGGTGTCATGGTGTGGGGAATATTTTCTTGGCACTCTTTGGGCCCCTTGGTACCAATTGAGCATCGTTGCAACGCCACAGCCTACCTGAGTATTGTTGCTGACCATGTCCATCCCTTTATGACCACAATGTACCCAACTTCTGATGGCTACTTTCAGCAGGATAATGCGCCATGTCATAAAGCTGGAATCATCTCAGACTGGTTTCTTGAACATGACAATGAGTTCACTGTACTCAAATGGCCTCCACAGTCACCAGATCTCAATCCAATAGAGCATCTTTGGGATGTGGTGGAACGGGAGATTCGCATCATGGATGTGCAGCCGACAAATCTGCGGCAACTGTGTGATGCCATCATGTCAATATGGACCAAACTCCCTGAGGAATGCTTCCAGCACCTTGATGAATCTATGCCACCAAGAATTGAGGCAGTTCTGAAGGCAAAAGGGGGTCCAACCCGTTACTAGCATGGGGTACCTAATAAAGTGGCCGGTGAGTGTATACTCTAATTTTATCATAATCAACTGGGTTTTGGTCTTTTTGGTACAGACATAAAACTTAACTATGGCCCTTTAAGGGACCAGTTTAACTAAAAATGCAAGAGTGGTTTTTGCCAGCGTCCCAATAGGTCAACTGCTGTTTTTCTATGTTGCAAACTCATTACCAACCCAGGCAATGGGTCACTCGAGTTGCTTCTAGGTTGTTGTTTTTTTATTTGTTTTTATGTGCTTGTTTTTTGCTAGGTTAAAAGCTTAAAATGAAACCACCTTAAGTAGAAATTCAACTTAGTATAGATAAAGGTACAAAGGTAATATTAATTTAGTTTTTTGTACGGTTTATAAAAAGACAACAGAAGAAAGGACATCTTGAAGAATGAGCAAAAGGAAGAGATATTTATAAAGAGATTCGGATTAAATATTTGAAATAAAAAAGCATAGTACAGGAAATGTGACTGGTGTGGGGAGGAAGATATGAAGTGTTAAAGATTTGTCTCTCTGTGTTTACACCTTGAAGTCTATCTCTCTGGTTGTTTTTCCTGAAAAGAGATCAGTCGGGACATCTCTTTAAATAACACTTCATAATGTATATGTATTACATAACCATGTGACATGACAACAGATTCTGATAGAAATTGTAGAGAAGTTCCTCAGAGTGTACAGAAGGAAGCTGCTCACCTCTGGGCTCACCTCTCAGTCAGTGGCCCTGATTGATAGTTAAAGAGGCATTTTGAAGGACGCCACTCTCATTCCATTCCCAAATCTTTGCTACATACAAAATGAAGATTATAACTGTATATTCTGATAGAGGAACTGTCTTAATTAGATAAACTATTGGGGAAATCTGTCATGATGGGTTTTCTCTGAGTAAAGCCCAAGATGCAGAACACACACGGGAGAACTGGGTAAAAAGTTCAAAGAGTTTATTTTGAATACAAACACATGAATACTGGAACTGATTCAGTCCGGGGGGCTGGTTCACTGGGGTCCGAGCAGGGAAAGGGAGATGGTTGGTTTACAGAGATCATGAGGGGCTAAGCCTCTAGCTGTTAGCTTAGCAAAGCTACTGAGCTTCCAGCTCAACTCAGAGAACAACAGGGAAGACACGGGAAATCCACATGGGAACCTCTAGGGAAACTCCACATAGGGGTCGTCAGGTTTCAACCACGTAGGAATCTTTGGGTTGGCTCACCAGGGCAGCTTAGCAGGTTAGGTTTTCCAAGAGCTTCAGGCTTGAGACTGGTTTCCTGTGATGCAGCTCTCCCAGAGCTGCAGACCAGAGACAGGTTGCCAGGGAGACAGCTCTACCAGAACTTCACGAAGGGACAGGAGGTTAAGCTCATCCAGAGCTTTCACGAAGAGACAGGATTCCTGTGAGGCAGAGATAAAGAGATATTAGAATCTGGCCTCGACCTAGGAACAACCAAGACTCAGTCAATAGCAGAAGGTTCAGGAAGCTAACCAACTAAGATCAACACTGCGGCGTGGAATCAAGGTTTGAAGGCAGCTTAAATACTGTGGTCCTCCTGATTAGTAGATCCGCCACAGGTGTGTGGAAGGCTCAGCTCAGGAGGACCCACGGCGCACTCTGCTGGAGGCAGAGGGTAATCTCCAGAACCTGACAGTGACTTCAGCCCTAAGGGAAAAAACAAAGAAAGCAGAAGAGGATCCTCGGCGCCCTCTGGTGGGCAAGCCTGAGGATCCCAACAAAAACATCAGTTCTAACACGCAACAGGCAGCTAATATTAAGGTGAAATAAACCAACACATCATCAATGATAAATATCCTAACAAAAACAATATAATTTTATTATATAATATTAGATAAAGCCTGAATTTGTATTACTTTTTGCTTGTTTAACTTTTTTACATTGTATGTAAACTGCAAATTGCATGCACAAATCTCATTCCCTTTTGCCCAGAATGTACTTGAAAAAATAAAGTTTTCAGAAACTAAAAATAATAATAAAAAAAGCATATAATTATTTCTTGAAAAATTATTTACATAATCAGGGGACCCACTTCTGCCCCCACAACCTTTAAATCCTAGCTCCGCCCCTGATTATGATCTGTGTTGTCCGCACCTTAAACAAACTGCGGATGTAGTTCAGAAATCACGTGTTCTGATAATATAGATCTACATCATCTACTCAACTCCAGAAAGTCTTCTTAGCAGGACTGATATTCCCTTTCCGGCTCTCCTGGTATTATTTTTACAGAGAACAACGCTAATTAGCGGACTTAGAGCTTATTGTTAGCAGTGAACAATAGATAAACTCTGTCCTAAAAGTGCTGGAAGCTGGAAGCAGCCTCCACCCAGAGGAGGATGAGAGGGCGCAGCGGCCAGCGCGCTGCGGCGCGGGGCGCCTCCATCCATCCAGGTTACCGCTGCTGCTCCCTCCCTGAGTAGCTGGAGCTTTCATTTGCTCCTTTAGAAAAAAGAACTTTACTCCGACATAGTGAGAGAGGGATGTGGGGGAGTCAGAGGAGTCAGAGGACAGGGCTGCTGGTTGCGCTGCCGCTGGCTGTGGCTGTGCTGTGCTGCGCCCAGAGGTGAGTGTGTCAGTGAGGGGGGCCAACCAGGCGCTAACCGGACTTTATTCCTCTTTGCCTTCTGTTTTTCAGCGTCAACGAACCGGGTAATATGTCATTTGTCAAAGAGACGGTGGATAAACTGTTAAAAGGATATGATATTCGTCTCCGGCCAGACTTTGGAGGTAGGACTCTGGATATTTATTAATTCACTTATTTTGATTATCTTGAAATTATTTCCAATGTTTTATTTTGCATCAATTTATTTTAGGTGCACCGGTTGCTGTTGGCATGAGTATCGATGTGGCCAGTATAGACCTGGTATCAGAGGTCAATATGGTAAGTTTCTGTTTAAAATCTATCTATCTATCCACCCACCAATCCATTTATCCATCCATCCATCCATCCATCCATCCATCCATCCATCCATCCATCCATCCATCTATCTATCTATCTATCTATCTATCTATCTATCTATCTATCTATCTATCTATCTATCTATCTATCTATCCATCCATCCATCCATCCATCCATCCATCCATCCATCCATCCATCCATCCATCCATCCATCCATCCATCCATCCATCTGTTAGACAAAACTTATTGTGACCTTATATAAGAATATGTTAATTTTATATTGTTTTCTATTCTTATTTACTCACTAGTCTCTAAACACGTTACTGGTACCACATTGAGCAACACCTTTTGCTCTTAGGAAGGCTGTAATTCATGGTGCATTATCCTGCAGGCAGTAGTCTTGACAAGATGTGCATGCTGTAGCCCCTGGGTCCAAAAAATTTTCTGGGTGTGGCCCCCCTATGATTAGTTATATTAGACATGCAGTATACCAGAGAACACATTAGGAAATTCTTACTGTTGAGTTTTTAGGTAGACAATATTAAGATCTCTCCAGGGACAACAGATGAAAAACATCCTCATGGCTAATTCGGGTGCATTTGCAGGAATGCTTTTTTGATGTCAAATATATAAATAAATCTAAAATCGAAATGCACACATTATGTGGTTTCAAAAATAGATTTATAACATATTAATCTAGTAAAATTAAACTAAAAAATATTTGGTGAAAACACTACTAGTGATCATATCATCTGATTTGCTTGAAAAATATTTAATCAAACAATAAGTTTTGAGCCAGTTCTAGTACTGTAAAGACCATAACTGAAACTATACAAAAATAATCTATTAATGCAGAGGAAACGATATTTTTCTTTTAAACAGAAGCAGTATTTAATATTTAATGCTGCATATTTACTGGATTTTCAAATGGCTCAGCAGATAGAAAATAACTATAAAACAACTAATCTTGGTTCATGCAACATTTCTGATTTTGGTGCATCTGGTGCATTTTTGGTTAAAACAAGTCAGTTTAAAACAAAAATGGACCAAGTTGCATATAATAAATCCTGGTTGATTAATTTTTAAATATTTTGATTATATTTTCATTTTGGAAATGTATTAATTATTTAATATAAAAAAATATATAATAATATTATATATTTAAAAAAAAACTATCTTTACATTATGAGAGAATTAGGCCAGCCCAAACATACCCTGCGTCCAAAATGGCAGGCCGAGCCCTTTGTAGCCATGAAGGGCTGTAATTTATCTAACGTAATTAAAAGTTATCTAATGTAAATAAAACAATCAATATGCATCATAACATCACGACCATTGATATAACTAAACTCAACTTTATTTATAGAGCGTTTTAAAACAATCACAGCCGCCTCAAAGTCCTGCACATACCTGTAGATAAGTTAAAGTTGTTTAAAAACAACACAGAAGTTTTAAGAAATTAAAAAAATAGAATAAAATAAATGAATTTAAACAAATAAAACCACATAAAATAAATATTAAACAGACTACAAACACAGGGAGAGAATAATGCTGTGTTAAAAGCCAAAGAATAATTATAAGTTTTAAGGCGAGTTTTAAAAATAAAATGAAGAGGATTGTCTAAAGAGGAGGGGGAGCTCATTCCACAGGTTTGGAGGCGCATCTGAAAAAACTCGTCGTATAAAGTATAAAATTCTGATGCCTTCATCTGAATGTTGATGCAGTCAAGCTTTTCCAGTCTGTTACACGCCAGTTCTGCTCAGGCTGTGGGAACTATGGCCTCAGTGCTCTACTCTTAGCAGCCGAATAATAGGAAAATTACAGTTTGCATTATTGCTGGAAAGTTTATCTTGGTAATATAGTAATGTTTTTATGCAGGATATATAGCATTAAAACATTACTAGTATTGCTATATGTGCTTAAGGCTCTATTTCTCAGGTTTTGTCTATTTGTTGATATTCTATTGTAGGTTTTCCACAAAATAGATGTTTGTCCACCATAAAAAGATATGGCACCTTTCCTTAACTGTTATTGTGCTGGAGGAAGATGATGACTTGTGTTGTTTCCATATGCAGTTGACACAAAAATAAAAAGTCCAAAATCCAGCTGTATTTAACACCTGAATGTGAGAGAGTCTGTGTACTTGTTTTATCCATATTAATGTGGTTACGATGTATAGTTTTATGGGGATTTTCTTTTAAAACAGTGTCTTTAACTATTAGAAATGTTATCATTATAATCATTAGAACAGATGAATGTGTCATCCCTGGCTGACATGAGTGGCACCTGCTGCTGTAGACCATCTGCTTCAAGGTCAGCGTGGTGTGTGTGCAGAGATGGGTTTTCTGCATACCTCGGTTGTAATAAGGTTTTGGTTGGTTTTTTTGTTGTTTTTTTTATACTGCAGCCTTTCTTTCATTTTAAACATGTTAGCTGTTTTTCTCTGACCCCTGACATCATCCAAACTGATGATTTCTCCTTTCCAGACTATGTTTAATAAATTCAAGAATAGATTCTGTTGCAACACATAAGAAACACCCAGCTTAGGTGTTAGAAATACTGCTTATGCTTGAAATCACAAGCTTGAAAAACAAGTTTATGAATAATTTAGCAACAAATTTCAGGTACCAACTGGATATCCTGCCACACCCTGCAAAATCTTTATAGAGTAAATTTTGTTCTGTTATTGTTATAAGCATAACCAGAATCAGAGTTAATTTAAAAACCCCTTGCGGGAAATTCTTTAGTTGCAGTGCAACCGTTTACAGAAGAGAGAAAATAAGATTTTAAGTACAATAGAGCAAAATAAATATGGTATCATAAGACAGAATAAATAAGTAAAAAATAGTAAAACAGTAAAATTACACCCTTCCAATATAAACAATGTAAAGATAAGGATTATACATAATTAATAAATGGAAATATTAAAAAAAATGAGTAACTTTGCTGTTTTCTCAGATTTTTTTTATCATTTAGACATTTGTTTATGTTTTGATAGTATAGTTTTTTCAAATTTTATTTTTTCAAAAAAATCTTTATTTTTACAGATTTTATAGTTATGATAATTTTTTTAGATTGAGTTTTATGAATTTTGTTCTTTTCAGCTGCATGTTAAAGATTACTCTCCTCCACTTCTAATGGCGGGCTTTCCCTAGAATGAGGAGCAAGAATACATTTTTACTGATCTGTATGGATGTTAGGAACAACATTTTTATTGGTCAAGAATAAGTGTTGAAGAGAATGGGATCTGTGGAGGGCAATTTGAAAAGAATGCAATTTGTACAACTCCATCTGAAAAAGAGAAATTTGAAAAAGTTACATTTGAAACAAACTCTGTAAAAGAAGAAAATCTGAAAAATTAAGTAAAAAAAGTCAAAAATACTGTATCATTTGGAATTCTTTTTCTTTAGAAAAATCTAAGAAAACAGTAAAGTTACCTGCAAAACCATCTTGATTAAAACTTAAATTTCTGAATAGTATTTTTTTTTTTCTTTTCAAATTGCCATTTACATAATGTGCTCTTTGCTTGCTACAGTAATGGAGGTAAGTTCACTTCATACGATTGCAGAATAATCCACACTAACTGCAGAGAACGATCCCTATGCACACAGACTTAGAAAGAGTCCAGTAAAACCAGTTAGCTCTATCATTCCTCCCACTCCCCTACATGGTGCCTCATTTAAACCAAAACCAGGTAAAGAAATAAAACAAATGTTAATATGTCACATAAATGCACTTTAGTTTCCACACCACTGCCGTTTATGCTTTTCAAGACTGCTAATATTTCCAAGCAGCCAACTTTGTCTTTCTTCTCAGCTAACTGTAGTTGTTTTTATCAGCCAGCTGACCAGCAGTGGCAGGCTGAGGAGGATAAATGTTGTGTTACTTCTGAACTGCATCTCATTGAAAGGGTTGAAAATGGTAAGACCTTTGAATCCTTTTCATTAAACCTAACCCTTTTATTATTTCAAGCTTCTCCAAATCAAATTTACAACCTGTCAGTCGTTCATACAACCATAATGAGGAGTTTAAATCATGTTTATAGAGCAGCAAGATTTCAAACTGTATAATTTGGTTTTAATATGTAAAGACCAAGCTGGGTTTATGTGTGTATCTGTGTGCGCATCTTTGTCAAACTCAGCTTTCTAAAGCTTTAACAGTTGGAAAAAATTGCTAAAAACATCTTTTTAAATTAACACAAATATTTTAATACCTGTAAAATAATTTAGTCAACAGTGTAATTTGAGTTGGAATGACATGTAAGACTACGATTCTCTAAATAAAAGCTTGGTTTGCTCTCAGCTCTTAATTCAAATGAAATTTAAGTGCAGAATTTGTGTTTTCTTGGTATAAGGGGCTGTGCACTCGGATGTAGGATGCTGACACTAAATGCTACTACAGCTCACTCTTATTGATAGTTCGTAAATAATTAGGTGAAAAATGTATTATTTAATTCCTTAGAGCATTAAAAGAAACAGCTTTTTGATTTTCTTTCATTCCACACCATATTAAGTGTTATCCCTACACAAAATGACTGATTATCCTGCATAAATAACATCTGTACATCTTATACATCGTAGACATATTTTAAAAAAGACTCATAAATGTACATTTATTTCAATCACTGACTCATTTGCTGTGAACATCTTTTATCATGTAAAAAATAAAGTGAGCTCTTAATGGTATAATAGCAGAATATCGGCTGTAGCTGTCTGTCGGGCCATCCTGTGTAGAAAGGATCCGGTCTCGTCTGTGCTGATCAGATCAGACTGTCTGTGTTAATGGCTCTAGGCGTACAGATGGGGACCCAGCGAGTGCATCTTCCCCTTCAGCCTGAGGAATGGACTCATCTAGAAAATAAGCCCTCCTAGTGGCACTTAAGCATGTGTTAAAAATGAGGCAGCCATGCTGGTGATGATGGAGCCATTTCCCCTCAAGGCCTTATAGAAACAGCAACACGTTTGATTCATCACTCCGCTAAA